AAATTTCAATAAATGAAATGAAGACCATCCATCTAAACAGTTAACAGGGGTTATCTTCCAGTGGTAGATCATGGGTGATTTTCTTTTTTTACTTATTTAGTTTTCCAAGCTTTCTGCAATAAACAAATATTCTTTTTGAAATCAGGAAATCGATAAATGCCACAAATCTAACAATTTCAATTTCTACCGTAAAATGTTGAGTTAGCTCTCTGCTGGTAGAATAAAGTCCAAGAATGTTTTCACGGCAGACAAGGCCCTCCATGAGCTGGCCACCACATTCCTCTCTAGCCTAATTTCCCCATAGAGCAATGGTTCTCAAAATATAGGGTGCATCAGAATCAGTAGGCCCTACCCACAGAGTTTCTGATTCCAATCAAGTCTGAGATGGGGCCCAGGAATTTGCTATTCTAACCACTGGTTTCAATGCAGTTGGTCTGGGAACATATTTTTTAAATTATTGTGATAAAATATACATAACAAAAATTATATCTTAACTATTTTTAAGTGTATAATTCAATAGCATTAACAATTTACAACATTGTACAATTACCCTCATTATCACTTTTAGAACTTTTTCATCTTCCCAAATAAACTCTGCACCCATTAAACAATAACTCCCTCTTCCCCTCTCCACCCAGCCCCCAGCCCCTGGTTAACCTCTACTCTACCTTCTATGTCCGTGAATTTGCCTACTCTATATACCTCATATAAGTGGAATCATTTGTCAGCATCTGCTGGTGTCAGTGTTCCAGATTTTGGGTTAATAGGTGTGCAGCGGTATCTCATTGTTCTGTTAATTTGCATTTCCCTTGTGACATGAAATGGAGCATTAATTTTTTTTAACACTTTGTTGCATTAAAAACAAACAAACTGGTTTTTCATGCTATGTTCCTAATGTCTGTCAAGGTCATCTTCTGAGATGAGACGAATAAAGTGAGTCTATTAAAATTGAAAACAAAAGTATACACAAAAATATATGTCAGAACAAATGATACGGCAAGTGTTTTTATTTTGTCATCTACCCTCAATGACCAACTCCACCACAGACAATTGCTCAGTTGGTCCCATTTCTGCCTGTAACTTCCTAGCCTCCCTGAACTTTCACCTCAACCTCCCTTACACCTGGCTCCCGATCTCCATTTTCCACAGGCTACCTCCAAGAAGCATTTCTTCCCCACACAACCAAGACCTGTGGAGCATTTCAGTTCCTCTCACTCACTAGTCCTACTGCCCGACCTGATTCATACTATTCCCAATTCTGGCTCAATCTAACTATTTTTACATATCTCAGAATTTTGAAGTTACAAGTGTTCAACTTCAGTTTGTGTTTGATTTCTGTTTGGCAAATCCTCTTACTAATGTTGGATGTGCCTACTCTTTCCCCAATCTCCACATTCTCAAGGTCCTCACTCCATTTCTCTCCCCCTCCCTCACCACCTCTGGGCTAATGACCTAGCTTTCTACTTCACAGAGAAAACAACCTCAATCATGCACCGAAGCCAGAAAGCGGGGCTTACTCTTGGACTCTTTTCTCTTTCTCAACACAATGTCCAATCAGTTACATTTTCAAATAATCTTAAAGGAATTAAAAATACATAATTAAGTATTTAAAAATTCTTCTACAGGAAAATAAAAACATTCATTACTAAAAAAACATGTTCTATATTAAATACATTAAAATATAGATCATTTTATAAATTATTTTAAACTTTCTGATACAAGGTTACTTATACATAGTTCAATGACTAACTTTGAAAATATAAAAACTATGTCCTTCTTTTAAAAAAGATTTAACTTCATGTTACAAAATTATCCAAAGTTAAAAAGTGCTTCCATTTTGTTCCATTTTCAAAGCAATTGTAGCACAACATCATACCTTAAAAAAAAAGACGAGTTAGGGCCTAAGTCTCATCCTGCTTGCCTAAAAATGAAAACTTCAGAGACTTTCCAGTCAGGAAAAGGCTGGGAGGCTGGCTGAGTTCAGTGCCAGCAAAGCTGTCATCGGCCGAGCTAATACTGCCCTTGTTCTCAGAACCAGGCAATGCCTCCATCTGCCCACTCCTATGAAGGAGCCCTTCTATGCCTACTGGTTCCTAATTCAGAAAAGTTTCCTGAAAGAATTTCGATATTTAAATCCTATGCCAACACTGAAACTCTTCTAAAGATTGAGGAATTTGGCATTTGGATTTTATACAAAAAGTCATGAAATAAAAAAGAAAAAGAAAAAGAAAAAGAAAAAAAGACACTTCATTTGGTCACTTGATTTCTTATCTTGTCGAGGTAGGATAATTTTCTTCTTTTTCCAAAAACTGTCCTAACTACACAAACGGTGGCTGTGCTGGGAAGGGTTCTAATGCCTTGTCCGCATTCTTCCAGTTGTCAAAATTTTCTTTGTACCACTCAACTGATAGGGGGGAAAAAAGACAAAAATCAAAATTAAAAAACTAAACATCAGTTAACCAAAATTTACTGAGTTCTGCTAAGTAAGAAAAGTCTTGCCCAACAGCTTATGAAGACTGCCTAATGACAATATGATTTTGAACTGACATTAATCAGAAGATATTTCATCAACGAAAATTCAGATTTAAAAATCAACTATTTTTTTCTTTTTAACTTCCAAAGTGCTTCAATGTTTAATTTGCTGGTGTAAGTGTTTAAGACATTCTGATTTTAAGAAATTCGGGGGGAAATGAGATAAATCATTTGCATTAGTTTTAAAGTTACAGAAAATAGGTGTAGTATTTTATTCATGTAAATGTAGTAATAATGCATTACAGGCATAGTGAAATGATATGAGTTTCCTTCTATTACTATGCAAAATTATTTCATGTTGCTATACTATCAGTAAAGTTTTTTTAATTTAAAAAAAGATAAATTAGCTTTGAATTTGCTTTTTAAAATTTAACACAAGTATTTTGTATTTTAAACTCTGAATCAAGAATTTATGTTTGGACATATTTTTTCTCATTAGTACATTTCTAAATAGAACTTTAATATATATACACACAGACTTTATATATACCTATTTTAATAGATATTTCTATACATATTCAACTTGCTTCCTATTTGTTTGTTTCAATATAAAAAGACTCAAGATACTTGCCTTTGACTCACTTGATAGAGCATCGGCCTGAAGACCTAAGGGTCCCAGGTTCGATTCCAGTCAAGAGCAAATGCCCAGGTAGTGGGCTCGTTCCCCAGTAGGGGGCATGCAGGAGGCAGCCGATCAATGATTCTCATCACTGATGTTTCTATCTCTCTCTTTCCCTCTCCCTTCCTCTCTGAAATCAATAAAAACATATTTATTAAAAAAAAAAGACTTAAAACACTTGAAGACTCTAAGTATCTATATTTCATCAAATCTAAAATGACACTTATCTTAAGATAGACCATTATTTTACATACCACTAAGAAAGAAAAACGTTGCAATGATAATTTTAAGATGCTAATGACTGTAAAAATACATAACTTTTAAGGACATGAAAAAAAGTAAAAAATTGTGTACCTGAGAAACAATGAAATTAAGTAGCTGATAAATGCTAAAAAGATATAGGAAGACTGATCAGAAGTTAGTCTATGAAATTCAAGATGCTTAGGAAATATAGTACTATTGCTAGAAATATATTAAATGTAACAATGTGAAAAGTAAAAATGATTCATCGTAATATTCTACTGAATTTGTAGTGTTCTAAAAAGAAACCACTTTTTCTTTAAATTTTTCTCAACCTTCATCCCTCAAATGACCAATTCATAACATACTTGTTTTCTTTATTCCTTCTTTCCAAGGCACTTTAGGTCTCCATCCTAAGCCATGTATTTTTTCTGATTTCATTGGATATCTCATGTCATTGATGGGTCTTGGAAAACAAAACAGATTTAAAATGACACTGTGGAAATATATTTACAAATCTGAATACTAAGAGAAATAATGGGTGTCCATGCATTTTCACCATAATTCAGATTTTTTTCTTAAAAATTTTCTCCCTGATGACATGACCATAGAAAATTTATAAAATAAAGTGTATACATTTTTAAAATCATCTATAATCCCAGATGCCTAACACTCACTGTGGCTTATCTTCTCATTTCAGCACAATCTAAGTATGAATGCAGTAGGTCATACCTAAATGTTTGATGAATAAATAAATGCATATAAACTTATTAGGATTCTTGTGTTCCATATCCTGGGCTGGGTACTTTATATTATAACTGAACCTTAAAATACTTTTTAAAAAGCAAGATAAGTCCTAGCTTGTTTGGCTCAGTGGGTAGAGCATCGGTCTGTGGATTGAAGGGTACTGGGTTTGATTCTGGTCAAGGGCACATGCCCAGGTTGTGGGTTCGATCCCCAGTAAGGGGTGTGCAGGAGGCAGCCAGTCAATGATTCTCTCTCATCATTGATGTTTCTATCTCCCTCTCCCTTCCTTTCTGAAATCAATAAAAATATTTTTTTTAAAAAGCAAGATAATATTTTCTCTTTTTCACACTCAAGGAAACCTCAGTCTTGGAAAAGGTCAGTAAGTTTCTTTAAATCACACAGTTAGTAATAATGCTACACTTTATTCTTATGACATTTATAATTAGAAAAAAATATTTTAGTAGAAAACTCAAAATGGACAAACTAGTTTCTGGTTAAGTCCACATATTTTATAATTTTATGAGTACCTAAGATGCCAAATCTTTCCCCAACGTTTTAACTTGTTACTCACCTATCATTAACATAATCAACCCAGTTTTCCATTTCAGACTCTGAATTGGTCTCTTTGATCTGTCAAAACGGAAAGGGCTTTTAAGTCAAATTATAAAATGAGACCAGAGAATAAGAATGGTTTTCAATAGAGGATTCAAAAGACAAGGAAAACAACTTCCTGAAAGCGGGAGAGACAACTAAGATGAACAGCATTTTAGTAACTTTCTGTACTTTATAACCCAATCTCTACCTGAAGCTCAGAAAGAATACATATTGTATATTATGGCAGAAAATAAAATATTTTGGCTTTTGGTTATTACTCATTGTGATATTGTGATTTAAATAAGAAATATACGTTTGATAGTCAACCCTGTTCCTGTCACGGAGCTCCTGAAATACTTGGAATTTCCTAAATAATAAGAGATAAAGGTGTCTTTTGCTATTTATAATAAGCCCTTTTCAATTGCATCAGAGTTGATGTTAGTAACTGATCTTGGGGAAGCTCCTAAGGGTGGGGGCTGGCTGCCAGGAGAACCAACCAGGTGATTAGAGGGATAGAACTCAGCCCCCATTCCCCACACACCTGGGAGAGGAAGGGGAAGAAGTGCTTGAGGTTGAATTAATCACCAATGTGTTAATCAATCATGCCTACTTAATGAAGCCTCCATAAAAAACACACACAACACACACACACAAAGACAGGGTTTGGAGTTTCTAGCCTGCTAACACATGGAGGTGCTAGGAGAGGGGCATGCCCAGAGAGAGCATGGATACTCCACGCCCCTTCCCTCACACCTTGCCCTATGTGTCTCCTCCCCTGGCTGTTCCTGAGCTACAGCCTGTGTAAAAGACCAGTGATCTAGAAAGTAAACTGCTTCCTGAGTTCTATGAGCCACTCTAGCAAATTACCTCCAACTTATAGCTGGTTGGTCAGAAGCACAGGTGACAGCCAAGTCTTACAAATGGCATCTGAACTGAGGACAGTCTTGTGGGACTGATTCGTTAACCTGCGGGATCTGATACTCTCTCCAGATAGAAACCATCAGAATTGAGTTAAATTGTAGAACACCCAGACGGTAAATGACAATTGTTCGGTGTGGGAAACCCACACGTTAGGAGTACAGAGAATTCTGAGAATAGTGCAGAGGAAAACAAGTTTTTCAATACACTCAGTCCTCCTTTCCACTGAATTCTGAGATTTATCATTGATGTTCACAAATACATACAGACACTCATAACCATAATTATTTACATATCATTGTTCCTTTATTCTAAGACTTAAAGCTTTTTATTTCTAAAATTGAGGTATATCTTTTATTGGATAGGTAGATTTAATATATTAGGATTTTCCCCCCGAAAAACTGTTACTAAATGAGTGATATAATTTCAAATGACACATCTTAGTGTATAGATAGTAAACATAGTGATTGTCAACCTTTTACATCTCATGGCACATAAACTAATTACTAAAATCTGTGGCACACCAAAAGTATATTTCTTGCTGATCTGACAAAAAAAATAGATATTATTTTTATTCATTCACACCAGACGGCCATTGTTGTGTTGGCTGTTATCTTTTTCTTTTTTTTTACAATCTCATGCTCTGAAAAGAGGTCAGTGCCCCTGACTAAATAGTTAGGTATTATTACATGTTTTAAAAATTCTTGCAGCACTCTGGTCAAAAATTGCTGGTATATATAATTATAAATTTTATGTATTATTTATTAACCTTTCAATTGAATAAACTGTAAATTGTTGATTTTGACTAAATTAGTCATTGCTATCACTAAATTTTGAAAACACTACCCTTTCACAACATATACGTACCAGTTGTATTAGTTCTTTGGCAAGCTGGAGAACTGACATTTCAAAATTGGTTCCAATGTTATAAATTTCACCTGGCTTCCCCTTTTTTAGGACAGTGAGAAATGCTTCTACTACATCAGTAGCATAAAGAAAATTTCTCTTTTGGAGCCCTGATCCATGAATGCAGCTAAAAAGATTAAATAAAAGGAAATCATAAAATGTAAAAAAGTAAGCTCTTCCAAACCAAAGTAAGGCAACAATTGAGCACAACTCCAGAAAAGCCAATTCCCAATGCGATCCTAGAAATCTTTTACTGAAAACACAAAATTTCACAACTTTTCTAAATTTTATCCATAGTTCTTAAATGATCTTCAAACCTCCTGAGGGTACTCAGTAGAAAAGTGGCAAATATATGTGACCCTCTGAGAAATATTTATTCATCAATTGTATACCATAAATTTATTTTGAAGAAATATCTACAGTTTTATGAATTAAATAAATCCTTTCAAAAAGTAAAGTTATATACAGATAGATGTCAAATTTTATGCGATAACTGAAAGTTCAGGATAAATCATTTAAGAACTGAATTTTTTCCCTCTGTCACCATTTATTCCCCTTTCCTCCATTCTACCTCCCCGCAACCTCTTTCCCTCTAGTAATAACCATACTGTTGTGTGTCTATGAGTTGGTTTTTTTTTTTGTTTTTGTATTTTGCTTAGTCCCTTCACTTAAGAACTGAAATGATCTTAGTAAATAAATTATAAAGATGAATTACAAATTATACTTATTTTTTAAAGAACTATTGACTAAATGTAGAAGAAATTCCACAACATTTAAGAAAAGCATATGGGTACAAAGGTAAATAGTAACATACCATTTCCTGTTGTGTTGTAGTAAAGAAATAAATTTTGGAATAACCTAAAAGAATATTTAAATATCACTTTAGACTTTGGAAATTTACTCATTAATATGAAACTAAGCTCATCATATTATTGTTAAGAAATATACATATAGCCCAGCTGATGTGGCTCAGTGGTTGAGCATCGTCGACCCATGCACCAAGAGGTCGTTTGTTGGGGCACAGGCCCGGTTGTGGGCTCATTCCCCAGTATGAGGCATGCAGAAGGCAGCCGATCTATGTTTCTCTCTCATCGATGTTTCCATCTCTCTCTCTCCCTCTCCCTTCCTCTCTCTCTAAAATCAATAAAAACATATTTTTTAAAAAGAAATACACATATAGATGCATTCCAATTATTATCAGAGTTCAAGAAAAACCTATTACAATTTCAATAAGTAAAATAACTCTAAGACAGCTTCCTATTTCACAAAAACAAATTATCTCCTAGAAAAATATGAAAATAAGATAATATTATAAATAGTGGAAAATTTCAGAAAATCTTCATGAACAATTTGCTTTTTCATCACAAAACTCACTATTGTGTTGACTGTATAAGAGCAATTGCTTTATATATAACACCTTCTCAATAAGTGCTTGTGAAATTAATAAAAAAGTACATTCCAGCCCTAACCGGTTTGGCTAAGTGGATAGAGCGTCAGCCTGCGGACTCAAGGGTCCCAGGTTCGATTCCGGTCAAGGGCATGTACTTTGGTTATGGGCACATCCCCAGTAGGGAGTGTGCAGTAGGCAGCTGATCGATGTTTCCCTCTCATCGATGTTTCTAGCTCTCTATCCCTCTCCCTTCCTCTCTGTAAAAAATCAATAAAATATATTTTTAAAATAAAAAATAAAAAAAATTAAAAAATAAAAAAGTACATTCCGGTGCCTTGGATTCAAAGTAAACTTATGTTAAACAAGTTGAGATAAACTACTAATTTTATAATAAACCTGTTAAAGATACTCTAAAACTTAAGCAAAGTAGATATTAACACCAGCAGATCATGATAAGGCCCTTTCCTTTGGACAAACAGATTAATGCAACCAGCTGGGAAGTGAAAAACTCGCTCTAAATTTAGGATGAGAGGGAGCACAGTTACTTAAAATTGGGCTTAATGGTACAGAACCAATCACACAGGCATTAACTATATTTGACTACATTTCTTTTTTAAACTTCAACTTGTTGTTCCATTTATTTATGCATTCACTGGTTGACTCTTGTATGTGCCCTGTCAGGGGATTGAACCTGCAACCCCTGACGTATCAGGATGATGCTCTAACCAATTGAGCTACTCAGCTAGGGCTGACTACATTTCCTTTTATATTTTTTTTTCTTTATTGATTTCAGAGAGAAAGGAAGAGGGAGAGAGCGATAGAAACATCAATGATGAGAGAGAATCGGCTACCTCCTGCACGTGCCCTACTGGGGATCAAACCCACAACCCAGATATGTGCCCTGACTGGGAATTAAACCTTGATCTCCTGGTTCATAGGTCAACGCTCAGCCACTGAGCCACACCAGCAGGGTCTGACTACATTTCTTTATTCACTACTTGTACTACTTTCTGGAAGACATTCAGGCCTGCAACAATAAAGAGGAGTTGGAGAACAGTTAACCAGATGACTGCAAGATAAATTTATTTTCCCCCCTTTATTTTTTATCCAATCTCTTAGCTCCCTCCAGCCCTTATCTCAGTTCACTCCCAATATTACTCTAAGTGAGGACAGGGACCAAGCCTTAGTTGTCCTATCCCCCAGCCATCCTCAGGGGCCACACACTGCACTCTCTAGAAGTGCTATAGACAGAATTGCATCAAAGGACAAAGACACTAATGTGACCTATTTGGGGATTTCATTCAGTAGCAGGAAACAAACAATGTTCGACAAAGGCCTCAAGTGCACAGTCTCTCAGGGGAACACTTTAAGCGCAGAGAGGTTACCTAAAACTGAATAAAACAGATTTGCCAAAGCTCTACCACATGCAAAGTACTCCCTCTTGCCTTCACTGGGCAAATATTAGTGTACAGCACCATCTGTCTCTTTAAATCTCCCTGACTTTGGAGTCCTGCTTTCCAAAATGCACTCTGAAGTCAGCATTTCCAGTTCAGGATTCTTGGCACCAGCATGGCTGATTTCTATGGTGTCTCTGCCCACTGGAGATGCTTTCTTCCATACTGACATCCCGTCGCTGTGGAGTCTCAGATCAATTTCTGTACAAGCTTCCCCCATCACTCTCTAACTAGTTTTTACATTCATGTATAGCCTGACGTACTGGTCTTACTGCAAACCAGGAGTCTAAACTGCAGCGTGACACCAGTGCTTGGGAATCCTGCAAAGTGCAAGGCATTTTCACGTGTATCATCTCACTGGGTTCCTCAAAATCCTTTCTAATATTATCCTTACTCCTCAATCGAAAGATGATGCTCAAAGGGCCCAAGGTCATGCCAGCTGATGAATGTAAGGTCAAGACTTAAGCTCAAGTCTTCCAACTCTAAACCAGAGATCTGCATGTGGCCTATACAGCATCTATAAATTACGTATCATTACAACATAAATGTTGAACAAATAACTGAAGAGAGGTTATTATAAGTTACAATCACTAAAACACTCTGAATTTAGAAATAAAATGTACCTTTTCTGGATATTGATGTGGTCCATAAACATTACTGCTTCTTGTGATGACAACTGGAAACTTAAAGAGTATTTGACAGTAAGATAATGGAAAGGTCCAAAATAATAATTATCTAAAGTTAAGCAGTTTTAAAATATGGCACTTTTGGCTAAATAATTCCACACACCTTAAGGACAGAGCGAAGGGATTTTTTTTCTAATGTAAGACTCCTGAAAAGACGGGAGAGGATGGGATTCAGATAAAGGCGGAGGTTTCAAGAGGAATTTTTTCTTTATTGGGACAAGGGGAGGACAAGTATAGATGAAGGCAGGTTTGTAAGTTTGACAGAAGAAAATGAAGGAAATTTCCACCTGATTATTTCAGAGACCACCTCTAGGTTTGGTTAGATGTTATACTTCAAAGCTTTCTCTGCTGTACCAAACCTTACAAATAAAAAACCTACCAGGAAAGGGAAAAGGACCAATGCTACTGGAACACAAAAGGCAAGAGAATGTTAAGTCATTCTTTGCCTTGCCTTTCTGGCCCAGGCCCTAATTACTCCGGAATTTTTTCTTTATTGGGACAAGGGGAGGACAAGTATAGATGAAGGCAGGTTTGTAAGTTTGACAGAAGAAAATGACGGAAATTTCCACCTGATTATTTCAGAGACCACCTCTAGGTTTGGTTAGATGTTATACTTCAAATTGGCTTTCTCTGCTGTACCAACCCTTACAAATAAAAAACCTACCAGAAAAGGGAAAAGGACCAATGCTACTGGAACACAAAAGGCAAGAGAATGTTAAGTCATTCTTTGCCTTGCCTTTCTGGCCCAGGCCCTAATTACTCCCACAGATCAGTGGGAAGCCAAATGTAGGGGGTTCGAGCTGATAATTCATACTGGGTAAGGCTCCCCGCTGACACTGTCAGAGCCACCGGGGAACTCTGCCTCCTATTCACAAGGAGCCACGAGAGGTGAATTGTGCAGACAGGAGCACAGAGGCGGTAATCGAATCTGCCCTCCCTCTCTCTTCCTTCACTCCCAGGATTCCTGGGAACAGGGCTTTTCACTTTAGCTGTAATACTCTACCTATTACTGAAGTAAGAAAAAAAACACCATACAAATCATTCCTTTAAAAGATGAACTAAACAAGAAGTAGATCCTACATTGTCCACACGCTATAGAAAATCAGTTTTTTTAAATTCCTTAATATGTAACTTTTCTCACTACATATCTTCTACCCTAGAAATGAAATATTGCTAATGCTAACTTGACGTTTTAACATCTAAGTCCAAAGAAAAATGATTCAAGAGTTTTAAATTAAAATTTAAATTAAAGTTCTTACTTTATATTGTTCCCAGTAAGATTGTACAAAACACTCAGCCTCTGCCTTAGATGATGCATACGGATTTGTTGGTTGTTTGGGTGAAGATTCATCAAATTCCTAATTTTAAAAAGATAAATTTCTTTTAAAAAGTAGTATGCATACTTTCTAAGTAGAGAAATCAGAAAACATATTACAAACTTGAAATGTTAATCATTACATTAAAAAGACATTAATGAACCCCAACTATGTGCCAAGCATTTCTCTGAGCACTTTAATGTAGTAACCTATTTAAAGTTCACAACCACCCAATGAGGCAAGAGGCAGAACAGCAAGTGCAAAGGCCCTGAGACAGAAGTGTGGTCAAGGGAACTACAAGGAGCTTTGTGAGACGGGAGAGAAATGGGAGATGAGGTTGGAGAGCTCGAGGGAGGCAGAATATGTGGAACCTTGAAGGCCAACATCAAAACATTAACTGACCTTGAGCAGAGTAGTAATGTCATGATCTTACATTTAAAAAATTATTCTGGCTACTGTGTCACATCAGATGTAGGGTGAAAAGGTACAAGGAGGAAGAAGTTCAGCTTATAAAAAAATGCAAGAGAAATGAAAATGGTTGCTTCTCAGAGGTGAGGTTGTGGATTGAAAAGTGGTTAGGGCAGTGATGGCGAACCTATGACACGCGTGTCAGAGATGACACGCAAACTATTTTTTTGGGTTGATTTTTCTTTGTTAAATGGCATTTAAATATCTACACTAATA